CTAACTACAGGCCTCAGTGTTGAACTTCACTTTAAGACCACGTTACTCCCACAAGGCCCCTCCAGACTCCGATGCTGTGATTAGTATTATATGTACTATCCACTCTGGCATCCTTGAGATCCCCCTCAGAACAAGGCCAACACAGCACTGGCTTCCCCTTCTACTGAACACGAAATCTCTCATCGTGACTTTCCATCTGTTCTTCTCCCATTGCTCCCTTGTCCTATCTCCAGTCCCCCTGCTGCTTGCTCACATCCGCTGCTCTTCTCCTTACCCCTCACACAACTCCTCAAATCCCTGCCTCCCTCCAGCTCATACAGGAGCTGCGGCAAGAGCCCCTGCCCTGAGGGATCCAACGCTGCTGGGTCCTGGGTCAGGGGCCTCTGCCAGGGGAGTCCAGAAAGCCCTAGGGCTGCTGGAGCCCATCCCTGACCCCAGAGGCGGCACAACTGCCATGTACAACAGCACTTCAATACGGTGCCTGCCACTTTTCTAGCTCTCAGTCCGCCTGGTTTCTTCATCTGTGTCACTTCTACCTCAGCAGTTCCACACCAGGTCTTCCTTAAGCAGATAGCACCTCTTCACAGAGCTTGTGGAGCAAATACAAGACAGGAGTACAAGGCAGGAGACCCCTAGGAAACAATCTAGGTTAGTCTAGTGAGGGAGTTGGAAGAAACTACTTCCTTCCCCACATTCCTTCAGGGGACATTAAGGTCCTTCTCATGTCTTCAACCAAGATGCATGCAAGAATTAGGTGGTGGGAGAGTCCCACAGGAAAAGAAAAGGCTGCTCTTAGGTTGCCTCAGAGCAGGAGGCTGCGAGAATGTCGCAGTGCCCACAGCTCTGCCAGATATTGAGTAAAACAACATTTTAAAAAGAGTCAGAAAAAGTTAAGACAGTGTAGGAAAACATCTTGAGCTTATCTTTCAATCTCAACTGATCTCCCTTACTCTAGCTATACTTCTGGAGCAAATAACACATAATCATGAGTTGAGGTCCCTTGCCCTAGTAATGAGGAAGGACTAGAATACCACAAACACTTGCAAATGATCAGGCAAAGTTGACTTTCTATGACAAAAGCAACAGCCTTAAACTGAAAAAAAAAAAAAAAAAGTCAGATGATTCATGTAGGTAAACTGGTTTATACAAAAGTATTTTGGTGAGATTAAACTGGTCTGTTCAACTGCTACTATTTTCAAAGGTCTCTAGTTAGTTTTTGCTGGTCTGTGGTTTAAACAGCCCAACTGCCTTTCACCCCCTGGATAACTGAGTGAAGGAGTCCAAGGCGGAAGCTAAATGTGCACGGTGGCTGGGGAGAGCATGCTCCAACGTGTGCATTTTCACGTGGATCTTAACCACATGGCAACTGCCACTAACTAGATAATTTACCCTTAGAAAGTTTAAAAGCTAAAAAAAGGGCAGGGAGGAGGGAGGGTAAAAACTGTCACCATTTGCCAAGGCTCACAAGCACAGAGGCTGCATGCAATGAAGAACTGGCAACAGAAGCAACAAAAGAATAGAATTATTGCAAATTATCCCTAACTCAGCTTTCATCCAAATCCTGCCAAACCATGCAAATCTCTTTGAAATGCATCTTCTCCTACCTAGATGAATATGCACATTAAATTCTGATTATGTTTGAGGGGAAGGGAGAAAAAAAAAAAAAAAAAAAAAACCACACACACACACACACACAGACAGCAGGGGGTCAAACTGGCTTGTAACAAGGACCTGATTTCAAACTTAGGCACCACGTTCCTCACACGGAAGACAAATTAGTTAAATGTTGGCATTACTACTTAAATGTTAAACCCAAGTTTGACAGTCTGAGAGCTCAGATGGACAGGAACTGAACAGACCTTGAAGGACTGATGCAGCACTTTTACAAAAACAACATAACAAAAATATCAAAGAGCAATTTTATTTAGCTTATTTGGCACAAAACTTACAAGAACTGTTTTGTTCCCTTCTCAAATTTAGTACAACTAGCAAGGAAGAAAAAAGGCATACTAACACATTTAGTAAGCTGTACAGCAAGTGACATGTGAAAAGAGGCACCAGAAAGATCTACCAAAAAAAAAAAAAAGTGCATGAAAAATACCTACTCTGAGCGCCTCGTGGTATTGTATTAAGGCACCATTCCTTTAGAAGGTTTACTGAATGCTTTAAGTGTGCAGCTGCTTGATTTTGGAATGTAAGAGTCCTTTCACCTGTAGAGAAACGGACACCACAGTTCTCAGGACAAAACATTTCTCTTTGCAAATATTAAATGGAGAGACCTCTTTCTGCCCAACATCAGCTCTCAGCAGACAGAAAGGTCATCGTCTTAGGCTTTGAGAAAAGCTAACATTCATATCGGAGACCAACATTTTACTTCTGAATTTTGCGTTGTAGTGTACACCAGGTTTATAAATTCTTGAAATATTAATAATCGTTTTATAGAAAAGAAATGCAGTAGAATCAACAGCAATATGGGACATGTCAGTAACTACCTGATTGATAATTTATCAGAGTAACTTAAGGACTTTCTGGAGTATCTCTTAAAATCAAAATTTGAGACACTGTTTTACACCAGAATAACTGAATACAGTTTTCAGAGTATTACAAAGATTTCTTCAGGATTAGCAGATCTGATGAATCCCACAAGACTTCAAGAACATAAGTATGTGGGGAGGGAACCAATGTTAGGCAATAGAAAATGTTTGGGATAACTGCAAACACTTAATGCAAGTACCTGTCATTGCAAATCATGTTAATACTGGTGTGTGTGTATATACATACACACACATACACACACACACACAATGAAACATCATTACAAGATCCAAACAGACACCTTGGCTCATTGTGGATTCTGCATATCACTGCTCTTAAGTACTACAGAAATCCCACCTGGTTTTGCATTTCGGCATCTTCATTAAGGACTATTCTTTTAAGAACCAAACTGCCTCCGTGCTTCAGGCAGCACCACAGGCCAGGCCCACCTCTGGTGTAACAGGCCAAGCGGGAGCTGCGCCTGCTGCCTGCCAGCCTTGACTTTGGTTTTGCTGCTCAGCTGGATCACCAGGCTCCTTTCCTTGCAGAAGGAAATCTGATAAGAAAGCAGTGCCTGCACAAAAACTTAAGTGGGAACCAATAAATGCAGAATATTGTGTTAAACCATTATACAACACCTCTACTGTAGAGAGTTTCAAACATTTCAGGAGCTTAAGACTGCTTAACCTGAACTTTGGAAAAGCACATTTCTCTATGGACATGCAAAGGCATTTAAATATGAACCCTAGGTGTTATAATATTTCATTTTTTGTCCTCTCTTGGTGTAAGCCTCAAGAACACAACTGTGTGTCCCATTAAGGAAAACAAGACACCCTGGAGCATTACAAATTCTAAACAGCAAGGGCTGAAAAGAAGGGCATCTGGAAATGATCTGCACAATACAGAGCATGGTGTTTCAGAAGTCTCAGATGGAACAGTTCAGTTCATACTTCCTGGGATAACCTTCCCTGTACCTTTGCCCCAACACAGAGCTGTAGTTTTCATTAACTTTTTTACCCCTGAATTATTTGCTACCACATATAAAACATGCCTCATACCTGGCAGTCAAGGGCTAAACGCTTAAGAACATGTCCTTTTTGTCCTTTATTAGCAATTACAATCAGCAGAAAGAAAAACTATTCACTCAACTCATTTATTTTATGATTTATATGCAAGTCATATAGCAACTTAACATTGGTGTTACACGCTTGTGCTTCCATTCTCTGGCACTTGGAGGAAGAATTCACTTCCAGGTAATCACATCTTGCTGAAGCATTCCTTTGCATTTGTCCAAACTTGAATTCCCTTAAATAAAAAAACAAAGAAAGAAAGGAGGTCAGAAATAAAGAGGTAAAAATATAGCATTGTTTGCAATCAGACTCTTTTTCCATGAAAGTCTCCACAAAAAGTCTCACAGAACTTCATAGAAAAATAGGGCAGAGACTGCACTGAAATTGGACCCCACGACCTATTATATTTCAAAATTCACGTGTCACTGAGTTGGAGTCGGGTGGAATATGTAAGGGTTTTACGCTACTGACTTCCAGCCTTCCATGAATGCAGTCCTCCTAGTGAAAGTTTGCATCTGATTCCCTGCTGACATGATGTATATATCAGCCTGGCTTTTCACAAGCTAAACATACCTTTTTGCACATGCTAATCTGCATGACAGCATAGCTAATAAGTGCCTCCTTCAAATCATGATTCTTCTGCTCCTTAAACCGTTCGATGTCAGCCCAGGCACTTTTCACAAAGTCTCTGGAATTAAAAGCAATATTTCTGTTAGCAAATGCTCTTAGTGTTTTGCATGTTATGCCCTCGCCTCATCTTCCTTCCTTTGAAGACACAACAGTGAAGCTCTGCATGACAAACTGCTCCATTTTTCATTCAGTGAGCCAAGTTGCACAATTATTACTCATCTCATGGTGTCTTCACTTTATATTTACTACAGTACTGCGACACTAGTTCTTAATTCTCCATCCACTTCCTAAGAGGTTTTTCACCTAGATAACCAATTTCACCTGATGGAGATTTCTAAGAGTAAGCATGACTGCCACTGCATCAGCAATACTCAGGATATATTTTTGCTCCTGGAATTCTTTTGGGGTGACTAAGTGTCTTTATGCCAACATTCAGCTACAACACTGAATGCTTCTTTTCCTTTTTAAAGATCAAGTCATAATCCTGGGCTTTCTGACCTGAAAACTCATTTGTCTCTGGATTTGACACAATAAAGCATAACAAACATTTGCAACACAATTTTTATTCGGACAATTCACTTCAGGAATTAGCTTTGCTTGTTTAGCAATGTATCTCCAGGTCTCCTTAACCAAAATTAAGGATTTCTGTAATACACAGTTTTCATTTGTGCTGAACTTCCCACACAAGGCAAGTATTCACTTGAAAATTGCTTCCAGAGCTACAAAAGCAGATGTCCAGTACTTCTGTCAAAATGATTAAGAAATTGCATTTACTGATTGTTTTGTTGTTATGAACTATTCATGAACTAGTCTTATCTTTTCAGCTCTAATCCTTGCTTATCAGGAGATACCACATTTATCCTTTTCATTATACAATGAACACATTCTAACACAAACACATTGCTTTAGGAACGTTTGCCCTCACTTTTCATGTTTGCATTCCTGAAGAAAATTTCACAAGAATACCAAGCTGCAGTTATTCAAACACAGCTTTCCAGAGCTTCTAATCTCTTTCAGACAGGAGTCAATTGTCCCCCATATGAGAAGCTGAAGAATATTAGCTTAGGACCCATACATATAAACCAAACTAAATGTTGTATTTAAAGCACATCAGGATTTGAGTCCTAGGCTACTCAGCTGCAGACCTGCAAGCCCACCTGCTAAATGTATTACTAGCTGAACATAAAAGCAGGCAAGTCAGCCATTAGAGCGGGCTCCATGGCTGGGAAAGTCATCAGATTTTACATAAGCTGCCCTCTCAGACCAGGAGCTCGCTGCATGTACTGTACTTTATTTCACAACTTGCAACTGACAGGAGCTTTTATAGACAGCTCATAAACACCAAGAATATATTAAAAACACTTATAAAATACAAACACCTTCAAGAGCATCCAGCCCGTGACTTTTGCTAAAACAATCCCTGTTTTCTTTGACAAAAATCTAGCCTTTTACCTGCCCTCCAGGTTTTTAGATTTAAGCTGTTCTTCTCCTTCCTGTATCTGCTCCTCCAGGACCTTTATCTTGGCTTCCCTCTGCTCGGGGTTCTCCTGCCCGAAGAGCTTGCTGGTCATCCCTTTCAGCGAGAACGTCCTCACGGTCTACAGGAGACACAAGGTTTGGCATTCTCAGGAACAGCCACTTGAAAACAAGTTTTTGCCACCTTTACTAGCAGCAGATCTTATCCCTCAGCTGAGCTGTGGCTTTAATTATCAGCAGATGACACTGCCTTGGCCCCTCCACTGTGTAGATGCCCCTCTGTGAGGCTGCTGTAAGAGGTGAGCTGGTTCACACCAGATTGAACAGAGCAGTAGAAGCTGCAAGACAAGAGTCTTTCCTTCTTCCTGTCCCCAGGAACTCTGGGCCCCTCAAAAACAACCGTTAAGTGACTTGATGCTCAAGCTCTTATGGACAACCCACAGACCAGGCTTAGCTGCGTCGTTCCACAACCACTAGTGAATTTTCAGATAGCTTTCCTGCTCCAGTCTGAAGAAAAACTGAAGTTTTGGGTCTTGTTACAAGAGAAAAGACAAAATGATTCTGTATGGAATGTGAATAGCTGCAAACATACATATTTAGAATTCTTAATATTGCTATATTATATGTTCAGACTTTTTTAGCTACACTCTACTGCATAAAATAGTGTATGAATAGGTATAACACCACATATCACTAATGTTGAGCTTTTAAAAGGCAGACGAAATCTTGCAGAAGTCTCAATATTTTATCTTTGGGATATGACAGCTTGCTACAGTCTGCTCAGGTCATGTTTCCTGTAACCTTTTATTTGCTCATTATTCAATAATAAGTCAGACAAGTAGCATGTATCACCATGAACCAAGGTATTTCAACCCTTGAAAGCCTATAGCCCATATACTTCCCATAAAGAGCAACCAGCCTTCTGCATAGTAGCCCCATGTAGATGCCATTCTAAGCATCTTGGCAAAAACAAAAACAGAAAAAAGATACAATCCACATACACCATCTTGGAGAAGAAAGTGGAAAATGACTCACGCCTGTTGCCAGCTCCTCACATTGCTGTTTCTTAGATGTTAGGTCCTGTGCAGCCATTTCCAAGTCATACTGCATTAACTCATGTTTCCTGCAAACTGCCCTGAAAAAAGAAGCAACAAAAGATCTGACACATAATACTGCTTTGCTACATTTCCCTCCATTTAAACTTCACAAGTGATACAAGTATTTTTTTTGGCAGACAGCATACTCGGTTATTTTCTAACTCGAATTCAACAGCCTTATGACAGAATGTGTAACTCTGCAAATGCTGCAGCTACACAAGCTTAGATCAAAGTAGAACGTTATTAATACAGCACCGTTCTGCTTTTCTGCTCCTCTTCCTAGACTCATTCCAATACGCTCTGGGTAATACAAACCTTACCACCTACTTGTTCCTTTAAAGTAATTTTGCAAAATCCATTAGAGGAAAACGACAGCTATGAGAAGAGGTACCTGAACATGGTACCTGCCACAGCATCAATGGTAAAATTCTTCCCATTTTACTTTCTAAGCAATGGAGCAAGCAGCTGGATTCATTCAGTTCCTAGACTCACATAGGGCCTGCACCGGGACCGGAGGGTTTCTGCTGGCCGTGGGCACCTGCAGCAAGCCCTGGCGCGGGCAGCCTGGCGACGTGACACGAGCACTCCCTGCACGAGGGGCTCTGCTCTCCCTGGGATGGCAGGGAGCAGCCGGCACACGCGACACCCGGAATTCCCCAGCCCCGCGGGCCCTCTCCGAGTGGGGACCCCTGAGCACTCAGCGCAGCCACGCAGCACTCACGGCCACAGGCCTGTAGCTCTGCTTCTAAAGGAGCAACTGCCCTTAGAACGTGAGCCCAAGATTGAAGGCTCATCTAAAAATCATTATTTATCTGAGCAATACTGTGCAGCCAACATCATACAGGGCACTCCACAACTTGCAAGGATCTGTAACAGCTGAAACCAGTCCTAACTTCTGTGGCCCATCTCATTTGAAAGCTGCAGCTTCCTTACAGCACACTGGGGCACCTATTATATAAAATCAAGGGAGCCGAGAAAATGGGTAGTATTATCTCCTATCATATCTAGAGTTTAACATCTCTGCCATTTTATTATTGACAGGGTCAGTTCCACCTGTTTTTGTCCCTTATGGCAAAGATGAGCAAGCAAAATAACACTGTAAAAATCTGAAGATTATCACATTAGTTTGGCATCTTGTGCTCTAGGAATAAAAACATTAAACTCAACACCAACACTATGCTAAAGCAAGAGATTACAGTTTTCATTTCTGCACGTACCGTAGTGCTTCTGCATAGAAGAGATATTCTTTCAGCTGATCTGCATAATGCTCCTCTTCTTCCAGTATGTCATCGATAGAAGCTGCGTATCTGGTGACAACACAGCCTCTTGTTAAGTATCAAATTGCTACGTTTAACCTTTAAAAACTACACACGCAGTAACAAGGGAGCACACTTCTTTGACAGAATCACAAGTCATTAAATACAACAGTGAAAAAGCACTTCTAAAGTTTTTTTCCCCCTGTTTTGTTTTTAATTAAGCTCTGAGCTGGCTAATATAAACACTCCCGCAAGACTGTTTCTTAGGTTGTTACTACAATAAATCTTTTGACAAGTATCAGATTTATCTTAAATTTCCTGCTGAAGATGAGGCAGTTCTTATTACAGGAAAAGAGAGGAAAATTTATTCCTTTTCTTCAATGCACTGTCAACAGCCAGCACCAAGGCAAGAGAGATACAGCGCAGAAGAAACGCTGCAGGACAGAAAGCTTCACCCCTAGGGATGAGAACGTGGCATCTTCGGAAAAGCAAAGGGGCAGCTTTTACAGAGCAGCTTCCAGATCTGCTACCCAACGTGTGGCCGTGCTCTGCACATTCCAGCACTGGGTCTTTCAGCTCCCTGAATGCTTCAGCAGCAGGAACTGCTGCTTCATCTGCTGTACAGGTCACGCACAGCAATTCTCCCTAAAAGGCAGTTGCTCAGAAATCTTCTGAGGCAAAAAAGCTTGGATTAACTCCACAGCTTCTGTCCTCAGTAAGAGTTTCACCGCTTTGGCCAACTATGAGATCTATGAAACACAGCATGACTTTTCTTGTAGCTTATACTGCTTATGGGGCAGTAAGCGCTAGGCTCTCCTTAATCAAGGTGACTGTGCTTGGACAGGCCACCTCCCAAAAGCCAACTGCACTGGTGCAGGGACCAAAGTCAGATGCCACTTCAGTCAGCAACCCAGGTCAAGAATCAACACAGAAGAACAGGATGAATGAGCTCCTGTCTCACATGCCTCCATTGATTCTGCCAATTCCGTTTAGACTCTAGAGTGGCAATCTCTGAAAAAGAGGAATAGGAACTAAGTATTTCCAGCGTGAGAGGCTCTTCGAAGTGAGCATGCATCCAACGCTTGTCTAGCAAGGCCACCCAAAGGCATCGAGGCCTCCTGGCTTCAAGGATTTCACTAGGTCTTTGAGTTCTTTAATTTAATCCTATTCCTCTCTAGTAATTGCTCTAAGGAAGAAGTGGTAGAGTCTTAAGCTGAAAGAGAGCTGGTCAAGTGACCTGGAAGAGGACAGGAGATCCCTCCACTGAGGGCTATGGAAAGAGCAGCTATGGCCCTGCTAGACCCCTTCTCTAGAGGGGAGGTATCTGGCAGAGATATCAGACCTGCATCAGGTCTGCTGACACAGGGAACGCGAACTAAAGCTACTTGTTGAGCAACTGGATGAATGCGAAGCCCGAGGGAAAGGTACAGATGTAAGCTCATCTGTTCAAGTAGGTATTGGTTGGTTTTGTGAACTAAGGCTCTTCAAGCAGGCAACAGCTACTTGTTGAGCAACTGGACGAACGCGAAGCCTGAGGGAAAGGTACAGATGCAAGCTCACCTGTTCAAGTAGGTATTGGTTGGTTTTGATGTTAAAGTTTGCAAGTAGGATAAGTTGTTTTGATGTTCTGTGAAATCAAAACGTCATCCTGAGCACACCCAGCAAGAGCCCCACCCCAAGGCGAGGTGTGATAAGGAAGCACAACACAGCAAGGAGCCAGCAACAACAAACCAGTCAAAGTGGAAGGGGTAAAAGAACAGACAGCACAAGAATTCATAATACGAATCGAAGTAACCAAGAAGTCTACACTGTTGAAAAATACATGTTTTGAGAGAAAATTCTCCAGCCACATCGCTCATATGTGGCGTTCTCTTCATTTTTTAAGTCCTGAAGTACAATAGTTTACTTAGTGGTAAGATTTCTCAGGGCAGCAGATGGACCACATCACGGTTTCAACAATGTTTAGCACAGTGCTAGAGCTCATCTGAGGCAGAAAAAGACTCTAAAGAACCCCACACACCCAGAAAAAGACACACAAAAAACCTCAAACAAATCAAAGCTCCATCAAATCTCCCATTTTCACAGAGATACTTGGTATAAAGAAATAGTTTAAAAACTATATTCGACTGAGCTACAGTTTAAACACTTCTTCCTAAAGAGGTAGGCAAATCATGGAAAACCTTTAAAAGAAAAACTGTGGTAAGTCCTAAAGATACATTAGATATTTCCACTCTTCATGGGAATCTTCAGCTAAAACCCATTCCTCACCCAGACTGGCTCCATCTGTAAAGACAGGCTAGTTGACTCAGAGATAAAGGGTCACTCATTTATAGCGTAAAGGACTATGCATTTAGCATTTCTTTCTTTGATCTTTATACGGTAGAATTACAGCCATTCACTTGAGCTTTCTCAGCATACTTGTTTTCTACTACTTAGCAAGCCTCATCTTGCCCACCCCCAAGCTGCTTGGGGCTGTCTTCCCCAAATACTAAGCAGTTTTACATCATTCTAAAGTGATAACAACTCCGAAGTTTAAATAAACACCCAATAAAGACTACAGCATATGGGGTATATAGAGAATAATTAAGTTTGTTTTAAAGTTTAACATCTATATTAAGAAACCTTCTCAGAGGAGCTTGCTGTTGCAACAACCTCCTCGTGGCTGGATGTTATGGGAATGCTAACTGGGCTGGCAAGTTGCACTTGCAGGAGACCACAGATATGAACCTGACCAGCAGGAGACCGCACGGGTCACTGCAGAAGCTCCTGAATCTCACAGCCCCTCTCTCGTGCCTGCTTCTCACTGCGAAATTATGGCTGGATGAGGCCATCAGAGCACGAGGGAAAGCAGGGAAAGCTACTGCAGATCATGGAGTGGTTAAAGTTGCCCAAAAACTCGCCCCTGTTACACTGGATCTTTAACTCCAGCTGCGTGAAGGACAAACTCAAAACCTCTCTATTTGCAGAAAATCTGGCCTCCTGAGAAGTCAATCCCATTTCTTTTATTCAATTAAGCACCTCTAGATGTTTCATGCTCTTGTATGGTGTATTTCCATCAGCAAAACCTACTTGCATGTCTCTACCTACTCATTACTATAGAATTCAATGTCGTTATATGAAATGTTAGGATGCTACAATGTTATTTTTGCATAACGAAGATATATGCTTTACACTGCTCTTTTTTTGTTTGTTTGTTTTTTTTTTAGTAAAATGTATTGCCATTTCTTTATTCTCTGGAGTCTTTTACTTGGAAAGCACAATAGCTCTTTCAGGTGTAAAGTATCGTATTAGCCAAAACATACGGGTGTGAATACATTATTCAGAAGGGTTCAAGTTCTTAAAGATGTGATAAAACCAGAATTCTTTTGAAGAAACTGAAGGCAGCTTGGCAAGGCTCTCCAAAGCTTTCATTTGACAAGGCACAACACCGATTACAGCAGACCAACAGTACTGCATAGGCAAGTGTGCTTTGTAAGCTGAAACTGATAACTATTTCTATGTGAATTACAGTGCACAAAGAAAAAAATGGTGCCTGATGAAATGTCACCATCGCTTGAAAGAGTTGTTACTTTTCTGCAGTGCCTGAATATGAACAAGGAATCAGAGTGATAGTAAGTTATACTGTTTAATCTACAGTATATTGCTACCTGAAAAACAAAAAATGGGAGCCTACAATTCCACTGCAAGAGCTCTTCAGCCCTAGACTCTTATTCTGAAGGCTGCATTTCACATGCTCTGCCAACTGACTCCAAAGAAGCAGAAAGGGAGGATTCTCAGCTTTATTACATCCAGTCAGTATTTGATTCAAGAATTCATTAAAGTTTTGGCTTAATAATAATTAAAGTTCTTAACTTTCTGTAATTAATTTCAAATCTGTGTACCATCTACTGCATGGTACAAAATACTGCTATCAAAAACAAAAGGATCTCATCAGGTCTGCAATGCATTAAAGTTCTATTCCACCAAATTCTGGCATAGTAGCTTAAAAGAAAAGCTGGAAGAATTCCAAACACTTCTACAGTTTCAAAATAATAATAAAAAAGAAACCCTTCTGGTTCTCTTGAGACCTTTCGAGCTACTTAATGCAGTGCATGGATACTAAAAGTGCGTCTGCATCCAAATCACCAAAATGCTGTATACCTAGGAAAAAAATGTACCCCCAAGTTACTCAGTACACTTCTTGTACGTACTTTGGGGCTGGGGGAGAAGAGAAGAAGGAGGGGGAGCTCTGCATCTGGCTTACATCAAACCATCAGATATTCAGTCACTACTTACACATCCATGTGGTGGCCAGCACTCTGCAGCCCGTCCCCCATCTCCTTTTCTATTGCACTCCACTCGCTGCAGGAAAAACAAACGAGAAACAACATCACACGTGAAGGGTAAGGGAAGTTAATAAGCTGCATCCTGTATATAGTTTCTTTCCAGGTGACACCTGAATGGAAACTGCCTCCGATCTGCGCTCAGCCAAAATGTTTCGCCCCCTTCTAAGCAGTGGCCCTGGCCAGTTAATATCAAGACACTGTGGCAAACAACTGCCCCTGCCCTCTAAACACACACACACTTCGGGGTTGTGGGTACCAGGAAGAATCTTGTTTAAAAACCCAGATTTAGCTATTTAAATCTGCACAGAAAAAAAGAGAGAGAATAAGGTACAGGTATTCAAAATATTTTTAAAAAGAAGGAAAACAACAGGGAAAGAACTCTAAAACAGAACTCAATCCAACTTGTTTACCAGAAAGAAACTGAGCTCTTCAGACTCAAAATACTTCATGTAGAAACCTCTCATTTCAGAAACCAGAATCTGGGGGTTTGACATTTGCAAGCGTTTTAACTCCTCCGAAACAGTTTGCTGTGTGTTTTCTATTTTCACCACAGATTGCTGCTTAGTTCTATTCATTAGAAAAATATCAAGTTATAGCCACCCCATTACTGTATCTCCCTTTTCACATTAGGGAGATCACTCTGATAAAGTAGAAAACAACTGCAAAAACGATAGCAAGAGACTTGTTCTGGACAGTTAAGTACACACAGAGCAATTTTAATTGTGTTTTCAGTGCTGTGAAATCTTATGAGATTTATTAGTTATAAGGATTACATCAGTAATATCTCAGAGAAGGGAAAAAGGGTCCCCCCTTGTATTTCACATAATTTACATCTAATTCATCTATTCTGTCCTTCACTTTCTCATAAACATTCCACTCTGCTAATGTTGACATTTGTTTGTCTTTGTGTTATTACAGAACTACACCTAATTTCACTTTAAAACCTCCAATGAGAAAGACATCTGCAATCCATTAACCCAGAGAATTAAATTTAGCACTTGAACAGAGTGTAGAAGCAGGAGGTTTCCCTTAACCAGAAGTTTAGATTCTTTAACTCTCCAGTGAGATGGAAAACTTGAGCATACAATTCACTCGTATAAATCAAAAAACAATTGGCAAAAGTCACATAAAATCAACTGTATCTATTCTGTTTCTCTTTTTTTTTTTTAATATAAGAGGATCTGGATGCTTCAGTGACAACTGCATGAAAATAGTCAATAAACTGCACTCTGAAGAAATGGTTAAAAATGCCACTCCACAACAGAAACTTAAGCTCTGAATAAAAAACAGTATTAATAAAAAACAACTAAACTCTACCAGTTGAGATTAAGGCCAGCAGCTCCAGAGATCATTATATCCAAAGTAGGAAGCTCATTAATACTGCAATACAAGAGTTTTTCCACAGCAAATGTTGAAACGTGTTTCAGACATGCTGTTATGGTTTTGAAAATATAATGTACAAATACATTCGCTATACTCACTGCACACATTCTTAAAAATTAGATGAATTCTTACCTGAAAACTCTTCCATAGTTTCCATGGACTTTATAGACACCATATAGCCGGTCTGCTACCCTCTACAACATTTTAGAGAAGGTGATTTTTAAAATGCACTTGATTTATAAAAATCCCAAATATGAGCCCCCAGCTAAAGCCTTATGTTTTCACACAGGTAAACAAGAGTAGACATCAGTCCCCAAAAACAAAGAGTCAAAAATACCACCAGCATGAAGCCTTTAAAAGACTGACCTCACAACTGTGGCAAAGCTATACAGACAAATAACACATCAAGCATTGCTTTGAAAGCACTCTTTTACAGGATATGCCTACAGAGAAATTGGTCACTGTAGTGAACTCTGTTTTTGACAGCCAGACACAAGGCAGTCTTCCTTACCTGAATAGTGCTACATTTATATACGAGTTTGCTTTTTTAATGTAAAGATGGCAATACAAAAACCCATCCTGCCATCAAGAACTGCAGGGAAAGCTTCCCTAAAACTCTTAACAAGTGACCCGATTTTTCCACACTCTGCAAGGAAGGAAAGGAAATGAGCTACCCACTGCAGAACTTGCTGCTGAGGCTAGATGGGCCCTTTCAGCTGCCTGGGGAGGCAGTGCCTGCTGCAGGCAGCACTACAAGGCTGGCAGGAAACATCAGAAGAAAAGCGGACACGCACATTCTGAAGTGTGACTTGTAATGCTGATGGTGCCCAGGTAATTGGGATGCACCCATAATTAAGCTCCAGTGGCATAAGAGCTACAGCTGCTTGTCAAAGCAGTACAAGGAAGGACAAGCAAATCAGAGCACTGAGAAGCCGCTGCTGTTACCAGAATACCAGGGATTAATCCTGTCAAGTGCCTCAGCTCATCAGGGCAATCAATTACCATCAGCCCCTGCAGCACTTTCATCAAAAACTAAATCCCTGTTGAACATGCTCTAGAACAGTAACGCACTCCTCATTACTGGAGCTCTAATTTCCTATTTCCTTTTTGTGGCCTTTTTTTTTTTTTTTTTAAATCTTCGCTCTAAACCCATAGACTATCTTGATTGCATGACATAATTGTTCTCATCATTAAAAGGAACATTATACATGACGGATTGAAGTATAAGCCAAAAGGAAAACAGAAGTGTGCTGGGACACATGCACAGTTCAGACTACAAGCTCTGGAAAATAGCGTATTATGTGTCAGCACCATGAAGCTATTTTTCAGGCCCCTTTGCAACCTAGACATCCAGCAAAAATAAACTTCCCTGCTGAGCACAGAGAACTGGGCATCTTCTCACAGGTGACCATTAGGGGAGCACGCAGATAACCTAACACACACACTCGCTCCTCCAGGGATTGCCAAACTACACTGCCACATTTGGAACTTTTTCCCCAAAAATCTGCACCAGGTTAACACCCCCTGCCCCCAAACTCCTAAATCGGATCCCTTCAGGTAGAGTTTCCTTATCCTAGGACATATGTACCAGTTCTTTTGCCTGAACAAGAAATGCTGCCTTATAAATAAATGATACTATTTGTCACGACGCACATGGGAAATACTTACAGCTCTGACTCGCAGAAGGTGTGATATGACAGACTGCAGTTCATCGCTGTAGTGTTTGAGCTCAGTAAACCTCCTGGGAGCAGGAAACAGATAGTACATCATTAGCCACCACGCCACAGCCAGCGAGAAGAAACGTGAATTATGTTAACAGGAATTAGCTGAAGATGCCTAAAGAAGCTGCTGCAGAGTTTAACTCCCCTAGAACAAATACTCAATGCTGACATGGCTACCGACTTTTTGTATGCAGATGCTGAACGAGAGCTAGAATTTTATGAAATAAAATCTTCCATTTTTTTTTCCTCCTTAATCAAATTACTACTTTTAAAAAGTGGGCTGTAAAAAAGGAAGAGTTGGTGGATAGTCATTGCCCCTAGTTACGTATGAAACTGTACAAACCACAGCCAGAGCCACCTGCGCACACGTTAATGCCACCTATGGCACAAACACCTAACTCGTGAGCAGCCACGGAGGCATGAGGCGCACAAGAAAAAACAGAAGATGACAACTGGAATTAAGGATCAGAAGACTGAAACTAGTCTCTTGGCTGATACTAAGCATAAAAATAAAAGAGAATGAACTTAAGGAAAAATTTCTTGACAGTGAGGGTGACAGAGCACTGGAACAGGCTGCCCAGAGAGGTTGTGGAGTCTCCTTCTCTGGAGATCTTCAAAACCCGCTTGGATGCCACCCTGTGCCACGTGCTCTAGGTGACCCTGTGTGTGCAGGGGGGTTGGACTAGATGACCTCTCGAGGTCCCTTCCAACCTTAAGCATTCTATGATCCTATAAAAGGCAAGTTTTCCCCCTCCTCCCACCACACGCATAGTCAGACTTCGTATTTCATAGTCTGTACCCACGAGGTCTGAGGTAACTCAGGTCAGTTGTTTTGGGTGACCAAGTACAAAATTCCAGGGGTTTCATTTAACGTTTCTTCTTCCCCTGCCAGGAAGCCTTCCCTAAAAAAAGCTCATGTCTGTATTCAGAAAGTAAAAACTTTGTCATTTCTATTTTTGATCTCCAGGGAGCATCCTCTATACAAGTATGACATGTGTAGGGTTAAAGTATACAAAAAATTAAAAGCAGGGAAAGCGCATGTGAAAAATACAGGCATTGATCTGCACAGTGGGCTTTAGAGAATAATCTTTTCAGTTTACACGTTATAAAATATGCACAAGGGCTGCATGTCAGGCAGCTGCAGACACGAACAGTGAAGATATTTGAAATAATTGAATTTGGAATAAAAGATTAAAGAGTCTGCCTTCAGTTCAGAAAGACTTCCCTTTGCACTCCAGAAATTTATATCGGAAAGTTTTATTTATCCTGTTCTGCAGCAAGAAAGCTTTTGGGAATGCCTGCTCTCCCAAGGCAAGTGTCAGAAACCCGGGACCTTGATACCACTGCTCAAGCCCCGGACACTGTCTTTGTCCATGCCAATTCCTCCTCCAAAGATCACATTAGTACCAAGTTGCCTTCATTTTATTGTCTCAGAAAAGCACAAACAAAATAGATGTCACTATCCCCTCACTTCACCCCAATCTTTGGTGAAGGCAGCTGAGAATTTTTTAAAAAGGGAGATTTTCTAAAAAACACATTGCAGGAGATGGGTGATGTCACAGATCAGAGGTTTATTTCAAGCATCTGCTCAAGTCCTATTGAAGGTTCACATAAGAAAAACACTCAATTATGAAATAATTTTCCAAACTGAGTTCGGAGAGGGATGTTTACTTTCCAGTGCACCACAAGTTGTGAGGCAAGACACAGTTCTGGCACTCCGAATAACTGAAACAAGCCCAGTTCTTTTCCCTCAGTTGCACTGGTTCTGCAACGTTACCAACAGTCTAGATATTTAAGACGTTTGAGCTATTTTAGTAGAACTTCAAATGCAAATGAAGAACAGATCAAATGAGACCTCTGTAGGGACACTGCCAGGTTTCCTCTGGAAAGTATCTTAGGGCAACATCAAAGAAAAATATTTCATTTTCAGAAGATACCACTTAAAAAGAAGTGACTGTACATTTTACTCAGACCTAGAGTGGAGGGGACACTACCATTTTCCTGTTTTGTGGGAGAAGATATCACGAGAACAGAACTTTTCTACAAAGAACAAACCACTTCTGGGAGCAACCTGACAGAAAAGGAAAGTTTTGGTTTTAATTTTGTCTTAGGAAAGGGCTTAGTGTTTTCTAAAAGAACCTTTCACCAGGAGGAAGGCTATTGTTTTGATTCAAAACACAGATGGAGAACAAGAGGATGGGTGCCATCAGACTGAACTGGAGAGGCCGGCAGGAGCGGAACTACATATTTACCCTTAAGTATCCAAAAGCAACACTTCTGTCGCCACGTAATTCCATCAGAAAAGCTATCAATTGCACGCCAGAGGAAGAGGTTCAATTCCCAGGCTAAATTTGAGCTAACGGAGTAGCTCCATTTCCAGTGCTGGAAGCCCCTAGCTTTGCTTTGGGTCGGAGGCACGGCCGCCCGGACTGCAGCCGCCCTTCCCGCTCCAGGACGCGGGGCTTCCCGGGAAGGCCCCGCTCCCCACAGCGGTGAATGTGTGTGTGAGCCCGGGACGGGCCGGCTCGGCTCGCCGAAGGGTGCCACTCATAACGGCCGAGAAGCTCAAGTTAAATACATTGTTTTGTTGCAGCTCCTTCATATGTTCCTTGTATTGTATCTTTCTCTGCTTTTTATCATGCCACTTATCACAACAGCTTTCTCTTCCCAAACACCAGGTTACCTCACTGCCTCAGCAGGCAGTGAGGCAGAGATAACAGTATCTCATTTTAACCCGTCTTTCCCATCTGTGCCTCCCTGCAGACAGCTCACAGCTTCTCTGCCCCAAAAGCAGGAAAAGCCAATGGCTACTAGGGACCGCCTAGGAAGAGGATGGCAGAGGATGAAGGATGCAAAAAAGTGGGCAGTTTCACCTGCAGATACTGAAAGAGTTGCTGTTTTCTGATCTCATTCATTTCACTTATCTTTTGCATTACTCTCCAGCAACAGGGCCCCTTGCTGCCCAAGAAGGCTGAACCTGCCAATACCGTCTGCTGTTACAAAAAAAATGGATGGGACCAATTCACAGATAAGTCTATAAACAGATATTAAAAGGATCAGGAACATGTGCCCTCTAACATCCTCAATACAACATCCAGGGATGCTGGGAAGTACCAGGGAAGGGACATCAGAAAGCAGTCACACACATGCTCTCCCTGAACAGCATCTCCAGTCACTACTGTCGGAGAGCAGAGGAGCCCAGCAGGGCACTTTGCAGGTTTTTACTGCTGTACATGAGAAACAGCAACATCTCCCAATGCCATTTCTGCGTACAAATGTTTTTAACTATCACAATAGCGGGACCTTTCTGCTATTTCACCCTCATCACCCAGGGAGCTCCCTACTACACACTGAGGCTCCTACTAGTTCTTTAATAGGATCTTTTTGCTATTTCACCCTCCTCACTTCACCCGGGGTGTGATGAGCCCCCTACCAGACACTGAGGCTCCTACTAGTTCTTTAATCCAGCAGATTGCCCTCATGCTCGTCTCAGAGCTCCCTAAACTGTAACAGAGCTGAACTGACCTCAGCATTTTCTAAAGCATCTGGGAAAATTGGCAGCCTGAAGAGAACTATGAACTGCAGCACCAGGGTGCGTGCACGCAGAACTGTACAACAGCAGATTTTGGAAAGACCTACTATCAGTCTGCATTCTGTTCACGTTTGGAAAGGTTTCTTTGCAAACAAATGTTGAGAGGTTTTTTTTATTGTTTTTTTTTTCCCCCTCTCCCCTTTCCAATCAAGCTAAAAGGAAAGACTCATTTTGCATTAAGTGAAAGCATTTTTCTGGAGGTTTCCTGCTACTCCAAGAAACAGGATTCTAGTCTCTTCATACCAGTCTCCTTATTGGACTTCTGTTAAGATTTAAAGTGCAGAAAGATCATTTATCTTTCTGAATGTATTCTAAGGAGATCAAATATTCTGTCATCTGATGTTACATTTGTAACTGAAAAGAGAAAAGGGGGGGAGGAAGGATGAGGAATCTTACTTGTCTGGGTTTTTCACTCTGAATGTTGCATTAAGAGCTTTTAATCTGGAATCTGCCTGAAAAAGAGGAGGAAAAAATGTTAATTTAGCACAATTAAATTCCCATGACAAAAATCTCAGCCTTCTTGCAGCACCATCAGAAAAAAACTCCTGCCTTATTGGCATATTTAAAGCCTCAAACACTGAATAGGTCTGACATTACCTGCCCTGTAACCCCATGTTACATTTTTTAAAAAAAAATAGAGAGTAGAAAAATTAAGTTATTTTTGTGAACTAAGATGTAAACAGCATCCACAAACACTAAGCTAGTATAATGCTGAGTTGCACAAAAACAGTCTCTTCCTAACTCTGTGATTTGTGTAACGTTTTAAGATTCACAACCCTACATTCTTTTGAGATGATGCAATTAGGTAACATAAGACCATATGGACAAACTATTTTATACTTTTCAAACCAAATTAAACCAGTGGTAGAGTGACCTCTATATGCTCTTTATTACTACAAACAGTCCCCTAGTGAAATCAAACTCTCATATACCATGTTCTCTTATTTTATGAGTTGCTTTAGAGAAAATATAATTTGTATATCAGAGTAGAGCTGTTTTAATGCAATATTCTTTTCTAAAATACAGCATGTATTAAGTCTTTACAGAAGAAAGCTCAATGCCTAATTAAAAAGTATTCTCGATATGTTGGTTTACCAGTGTCTGCAAAAGCAGGATAAACTGAAACTATTTAAAGAGATTATTTAACATTAAAAATTAAGCAATAGGTACTGTTCCACCTCCTGTTACTCTGGTCCCAAGCAGAAAATACCCATTTTTTGGATACCAATGCAAATTCCTTTCACCTGGAACCATCTCTATGGATACTTTCCCACATTTCCTGCAAATAAGTTCATGGAAGAGGAGTTTCACCCTTGCAACTGGTGGAATTTTTCTACACCAACATGGTCCTCTCAAAACATTCACTTGCTAACTACAGCCACCCTCCTTCCAGCAACCAACCAAGGCAAAAATAACCCACAAAGTCACAGGTAAATGAATAAAACCTGCAGGACTGAGGCTGGCACCTATGGGAAGAAACAAGGCTCAGTGTCCCAGCTCAGCACAGCTCTCCCCTCAGACTGTCCCACAGAGGGAAGCGCAGTCAAGATCACACAAGACCACAAAACCCTGCAGTAACCTAACGCCCAGCCCAAGCACTGGGGTGCACGGCCTGCGCTTACATCTCCACTGCTCAATCTCCACGTGTTGTTTTACTTGCAAGTTGCATCATGGAAGTTCACGTGCACCTGGGATTACTCCCCACACGTCCTCTTGCAGAAGTGACACATAGCCATAACTTCATCAAAATCCTCCTGCCCTCCAGGTAGTTACTGTGCAGGACTTAATTCATTCAGATGCCGTTTAAGTTCCTTGAGACAAATTCAAATTCAGCAGGCTCGGACATGAGGACACCGCTGACTTCTTATTTTTTAAAGCATACACCCAGAATGGTTTGAAGAAAGAATTGGGCAAGTCAGGAACTGCCAGGCAGCAATCCAGATTTTGCCAGTGTGCAATAGTCTAAGTAGAGTTATTTTCTTCTTGCCATTAGTGGCACAGTAACTCATGCACCACTTTATATCATGGTTATTTATTTATATACATATATATATGTGTGTGTGTGTATATTTGCACCAGACAAAGTCACGGAGGTAGAAAAAAATGTCTGCCCAGCCATAAATTGATTTAAGATTAATACATATGAACATTTTTAGAGTTGAATTCTCCAAATTAAATACAAACAAGGAGCTTTCATTACTGTGATTCTATAATCATTTCTAGCTGGCTAAACTAAACTGGCTCTGTGCTCAGTAGCAGGGTAAAGGCTTAACAACATGGCCAAGTGTTGTAGCTCCAACACTGAAGTAGGAGATGGTATTTGCCAGATGTGTGGGGAGGGCGATTGGGTGGAAATTACCACTAACTTCTCCTTACTAAAGGAAAAGTTCAGGGGACAAACCATTTAAATGCTAAAACTAAGTGTTGGGATGGAGGAGGAAAGGTGTGATTTGATGATGTAGCTGGCAAAGTAAACAAAGTCTCCAATATCAACATTCAGTTGTAATGTGATTACCTATATTTTAATGCCTAAATTAAGGTTAAGTTAGTCTGTTTAAACCCTTTGGGACAAAAGATATCCTGTTTAAATGCAGCAGCAGCAGAAACAGCAGTAGCACTTAATAAGGCAGTGGTCTGATTCTAACCTTAGCCATGAAATGAACCATTTAGATAGGTCTGGTGTAATGAGAAATAACCAGGCAATCGGGGGGGCTTTAGACTTAAGATGCCAAATAAAGGAAAGATGATTTAGCCCAGGATTTTACAAAAAGTTATTTTCTTTTTGGGAAACTGTAACTGTAAAAGGAAAAGCATCCCTTTTACACAGTCAAATCCAGAAGAAAAATAGGACTTAGTTCATCTCACATTTGACCTACAATATGGTTTTAGGTATCCAATTATCCTCGGCATTTTGCTGAGTCTTCTCTCACACACGTGCAGCGTGCACTCCTGATCATACACTGACATTAGAAACACTTTGAACTCAGAGGTTTAACTGAAATAAAGATAAGGGCTAGAAAAATGCAGTCAGCTTGACAGCTGCAGGTCTTTGCATTGCAGCTATTACCAAGATGCAGCCCATACCACGATGGGAGAATTAACGTCAACTTAAGTTACCAGCACTGTCAGTAACAAAGCTCCCTGGACACTGATGAGGGCAGCAGTGATTTCTCCCCAGCTCTCATTATTCAAAAGGGAGAGTTCTCTTCAAAACCCAACTAATTTTCAGTTGCAACTTCATAAGGGTCGACCAGGCTACAACGAAGCAAAAGCTTCTCAGTTTTTGTTTGTTTTCTCTCTCATAGAAATGCAATCTTTGACCATTTACTCCTGCAAGTCTCCTTCCCTCAGCTGCTCGGTGTCCATGTGGATATAACTTCAAGGTATGTTCCTGTTAAATAGCAAAGGGGCACTAAGTCCTGCTCACCCTCTTTCAGCAAACTAAGCTAGTAGGAAAGCTCTACCATTAGGCCACCTCTGCTTCCTTTTTGGTATCTTCTGTACATTCCCTGCTTAAATTTGCCACCAGTCTTTGAAGTGGTAATAACCTTAATTGACAAAATATGAAAGCATGACTATAAGCTCCAGTTCATTAGCTTTAAAGCTTATAAAGGTCAGAATTCTACATTATTAGCAGAATTACAAGGCTGAGCATCCAACATACGAACAGATTAACAAACCTGTTGCCATACCTGTGTAACACCTTTTACTCATTCTAAGGGCAATAGCCTCCAACATGTTTGTTAAGAGCATTTCTTTGTCACAGCAGTCACCAGACAGTTACGGCAATTACCTTTAGCTGAAATCCAGTCTCATTCACCATTTCTTTCCATCCACTTTCCTAAAAACACAGGAAAAGCACTGTTAGAACACCCAAAGAGTGCAACAGCTTTTCCAAAGTCTTCATATCAGAACCACATCACACCTGGAAGAACAGACTCTCCACTGAACCTGGGTCAGTCTCACTCACCCTCCTCATCTCACGAGGAGAATCTGGGCTCAGAGTGACACGTCAGTAACTTCTGCTCACACTGTGGCCTCTCCCAGAAGCTTCTTCCTCTTCCCCACATGCCTCGTTCTGTCTGCCAAGGAGGTCAGAGCCTTTCCTAAAGAACTAGCTCGACTCTTCAGAAAGAGGAGTAATTGTCATCCGTTGACTATCGGGCTATCAGCGGCTCCAAGGACATCTACAGCTCAAGGCAGAATGTTCTAATGCCTTAGTTGATTGTTTCTATCATATATTTATAAAAGAACAGTTTAAAACTCTTTTTTAAATAGAAGCAAAACATTTTCACAAGTTATCCCAGAGTGCTCTAAGTTAGCAGCTAGTGAACTTGGCCCAGGGCTATAAAGTTTTGTACAGGAATATTAAGAACACACAACCAAACCTAAGCATTGGTCTAAAAGGAAACAAGTTGATCCTGCAGGAGCCATCCCTCCCATGGGAAACTTCCTTGGGTTAACAACAGGCACCTGGCAAGGAGAGAAGTTCAGCTTCACTCAGGCTGGGGGAGGATCACAACTCCCATCTCTACATTCAGAAGGGAAGCAAGACTGCAATGTGCACAGGTCACAGCGCACAAACATTCAGCTTGTTCACACATAGCAGCCACTTCCCCATGGCTTTCAGGACCCAGGCAGGTTCATCCACATATTATACACTGCTGGGATGAAGTATCTGCTCACTTAGCTATTGGGACTCTCTGGTAAAAGTCTCAGAGCACCAAGAAACACCCAGCACCTTCCAAAGCTGATACCTGCAGAATGCAATGCCTTGGCTAACAACTGGATGGCAGCTATTGGGGACAGAGTACAAATGGATCATGATTCAAAGCACAAAGCTAAGGAAACCCAAAAGCATCCCAAAAGCAAACTGGAAGGCAGTACTTTCTCTGCAGCCAGCAGGATAGCATGCTAACTATTCCAGTTTTGGCACTAGAAAAGCTTTCCCAACCAGTTTACATAAAGTTCCTCAAAAATGCTGTTCCAGAGAGGCAGAAGCTCTCCGAGAAGCCTTTCAGCTAGGCTGGAAAATAAAATTCAAAGGTGGAAAGCCAGCTGCACAATTGAAATGGGCTATTAAATATTTTTAGACAGAACAGCCTTTTCCACCTTGTATTGGCTCATGTTGTCCATCCTTCTCCTGGACATACAACAAGCTACAGGTCA